ACTGTGGTGGGGCCATAGACGGAACCCATATCCCTATCTTGGCACCGGAGCACCAAGCCGCCGAGTACATAAACCGCAAGGGGTACTTTTCAATAGTGCTGCAAGCTCTGGTGGATCACAAGGGACGTTTCACCAACATCAACGTGGGATGGCCGGGAAAGGTGCATGATGCTCGCATCTTCAGGAACTCTGGTCTGTTTCAAAAGCTGCAGGAAGGGACTTTATTCCCAGACCAGAAAATAACTGTTGGGGATGTTGAAATGCCTATATGTATCCTTGGGGACCCAGCCTACCCCTTAATGCCATGGCTCATGAAGCCGTACACAGGCAGCCTGGACAGTGGTCAGGAGCTGTTCAACTACAGGCTGAGCAAGTGCAGAATGGTGGTAGAATGTGCATTTGGACGTTTAAAGGCGCGCTGGCGCAGTTTATTGACTCGCTTAGACCTCAGCGAAACCAATATTCCCACTGTTATTACTGCTTGCTGTGTGCTCCACAATATCTGTGAGAGTAAGGGGGAGACGTTTATGGCGGGGTGGGAGGTTGAGGCAAATCGCCTGGCTGCTGGTTACGCGCAGCCAGACACCAGGGCGGTTAGAAGAGCACAGGAGGGCGCGGTACGCATCAGAGAAGCTTTGAAAAACAGTTTCATGACTGGCCAGGCTACGGTGTAAAAGTTCTGTTTGTTTCTCCTTGATGAACCCCCCCGCCCCTTGGTTCACTCTACTTCCCTGTAAGCTAACCACCCTCCCCTCCTCCCTTTAATCATTGCTTGCAGAGCCAATAAAGTCATTGCTGCTTCACAGTCATGCATTCGTTATTCATTCATCACACAAATAGGGGGATGACTACCAAGGTATCCCAGGAGGGGTGGTGGAGGAGGGAAGGAAAATGCCACACAGCACTTTAAGCACAGCACTTTAAAAGTTTACAACTTTAAAATTTATTGAATGACAGCCTTCTTTTTTTTGGGCAATCCTCTGTGGGGGAGTGGCTGGTTGGCGGAGGCCTCCCCACCCGTGTTCTTGGGCGTCTGGGTGTGGAGGCTATGGAACTTGGGGAGGAGGGCGGTTGGTTACAGAGGGGCTGCAGTGGCAGTCTGTGCTCCAGCTGCCTTTGCTGCAGCTCAACCATACACTGGAGCATACTGGTTTGGTCCTGCAGCAGCCTCAGCATTGAATCCTGCCTCCTCTCATCACGCTGCCGCCACCTTTGAGCTTCAGCCCTGTCTTCAGCCCGCCACTTACTCTCTTCAGCCCGCCACTTACTCTCTTCAGCCCTCCACCTCTCCTCCCGGTCATTTTGTGCTTTCCTGCACTCTGACATTATTTGCCTCCACGCATTCGTCTGTGCTCTGTCAGTGTGGGAGGACAGCATGAGCTCGGAGAACATTTCATCGCGAGTGCGTTTTTTTTTTTCTAAGCTTCACTAGCCTCTGGGAAGGAGAAGATCCTGTGATCATTGAAACACATGCAGCTGGTGGAGAAAAAAAAAGGGACAGCGGTATTTAAAAAGACACATTTTATAAAACAGTGGCTACACTCTTTCAGGGTAAACCTTGAAAGTTAACATTACATACATAGCACATGTGCTTTCGTTACAAGGTCGCATTTTGCCTCCTCCCACCGCGTGAACGGATTTTGGTTGAATGCCAGCAAACATACACTGCAATGCTTTGTTCTACAGTGATTCCCCAGTACGTGTTGCTGGCCTGGAGTGGTAAAGTGTCCTACCATGAAGGACGAAATAAGGCTGCCCTCCCCAGAAACCTTTTGCAAAGGCAGAACCGCAAATGCCAGGGCAAAGTAATCCTTTCACATGCTTGCTTTTAAACCATGTATAGCATTTTAAAAGGTACACTCACCAGAGGTCCCTTCTCCGCCTGCTGAGTCCAGGAGGCAGCCTTGGGTGGGTTCGGGGGTACTGGCTCCAGGTCTAGGGTGAGAAACAGTTCCTGGCTGTCGGGAAAACCGGTTTCTCCGCTTGCTTGCTGTGAGCTATCTACAACCTCCTCCTCATCATCTTCTTCGTCCCCAAAACCTACTTCTGTATTGCCTCCATCTCCATTGAAGGAGTCAAACAACACTGCTGGGGTAGTGGTGGCTGAACCCCCTAAAATGGCATGCAGCTCATCATAGAAGCGGCATGTTTGGGGCTCTGACCCAGAGCGGCCGTTCGCCTCTCTGGTTTTCTGGTAGGCTTGCCTCAGCTCCTTCAGTTTCACGCGGCACTGCTTCGGGTCCCTGTTATGGCCTCTGTCCTTCATGCCCTGGGAGATTTTCAGAAAGGTTTTGGCATTTCGAAAACTGGAACGGAGTTCTGATAGCACGGATTCCTCTCCCCAAACAGCGATCAGATCCCGTACCTCCCGTTCAGTCCATGCTGGAGCTCTTTTGCGATTCTGGGACTCCATCATGGTCACCTCTGCTGATGAGCTCTGCATGGTCACCTGCAGCTTGCCACGCTGGCCAAACAGGAAATGAGATTCAAAAGTTCGCGGTTCTTTTCCTGTCTACCTGGCCAGTGCATCTGAGTTGAGAGCGCTGTCCAGAGCGGTCAGAATGGAGCACTCTGGGATAGCTCCCGGAGGCCAATACCATCGAATTGTGTCCACAGTACCCCAAATTCGAGCCGGCAACGTCGATTTAGCGCTAATCCACTTGTCAGGGGTGGAGTAAGGAAATCGATTTTAAGAGCCCTTTAAGTCGAAATAAAGGGCTTCATTGTGTGGACGGGTGCAGGTTTAAATCGATTTAACGCTGCTAAATTCGATCTAAAGTCCTAGTGTAGACCAGGGCTTACAGACCCATAACATCAGTATCTCTTCCATTTGGACCTCTCTAGGTCCTCATATCCAGGCTTTGTCTAAATTTTGACTGATACTTTCTGCATAACATCTCTAAAATACAGCCCTTTAAATCAGTGTTTGTATCTTTTTCTAAAAGGACATGCGCTAGTTCAAACAGGAAATAATGCAAGGAAGTCCTAAAGACCTGTTGTACAGGAGGTCAGACTAGATGATCACAGTGCTCTCTTCTGGCCTCATTTATGAATTCTTCCAACCCATCCACACAGCTAAATTCTCATCTCACATCTCAATTACTGCAGTATCCTTTTCCCTGGCCTTCACAAATGCAATCTTGCCCTGCTCATATGTATTCAGAATGCTGCTGCAAAATTTCCCTAGCTCGATGACTTAATCATATCACCTCCCTTCCCTGCCTTTTTTTGCATTCCTCTACTGGCTCCTCCTTCTCTGTCCCATCAAACATAAGCTGCTTGTCTTCACTTTTTCAAGGCCCTTCATGTCTTAACTCTACCTGTCATCTCTCCTTCACTACCAAGATGACAACTGCCATCTCCAATCAGCCCATGAGGCCAACTTCCAGTGCCCACTTGTTGAATTTTCAAACTAGTTCCTTTGTTCTTTCTCCCATGCTTCCCTTCATGCTTTGAAGGAGTGTCCTTGAACCATGAAACATTATCCTCCTTAAAACTGTCCTTTTGCTGTGATGCCTACAAAAATCTTAACAGCTCGGCAGCTGGTGTGCTGAGACCACTGCCTATCATGCTGACTAATATTAACTTATTTCCCTGTACTCACCTGTCTCTGTCTGGCAGGTGCTATGGGAATACAAATATTAAATAGAGAAAAAAATCCTATTTTTATATACCGAGTAATAGGAAAATATATTTATACAGTAGCAAGAGGATTTCTATTGACAAGGAACTGAGATTTCTAAGGGAGCAGTATCTAGAACAGTTTTCAACCTGTGTCTGCAGACAACTGGGGGTCCACAGATTGATTTCCAAAGGGGTCCACACCTCCATTCAGAATTTTCTCCGGGGTCTGCAAATGAAAAAAGGTTGAAAACCACTGAGAAATTGCACTTTTACCTGAAAGTTTTGTACCTGCTTTTTTACAGTGTGCACTTTGAATATTTGACAGCAATTGGTGTGTAATCAGTTCTGGTTTGGTAATGGTCATTTTCACTTCCTGTGTCATGCACTGCTCTGGGTGAGCTCATGCATATTTTCCCCAAGCCCTGTGATAGTGGGCCTGGGATGACTTCTCTTCAGTGATATTCCTGCACACAAGGACAGGGAGCAGTGGGAGTCTGGTGATGGTCAGGGAGTACCACCTGGCCAGGGTAGAGGCAGAAAGCCCCTACAATCCACTCAACCTTCCACAGGCCTCGACATACAAGGATGAAAACAGAGATGCTGAATGAGTCTCCTTTTTCTCTTCCCAAACCCTGAATAGGGCTGGGGAGTACCTGTTTGGGGTAATGCTTTACTACTGTACTGCTCATCAGGATGGAGAATGAGGAGCTGCCTTTCTACATTGTTCCCTTAAGGGACCTAAGAAAGACCTGGATTATTGTTTTAAGAGGTGGCAAATCCCCTCATCCCCTAAAGCAGGGAGAGCAAGACAGTAGGGAGAATCTCCTGCCCTAGGGATCCAGAATGGGAAAGTATGGGATAGATCCTCTCTCCCTCCTCTTGGGATTGGAGTGATATGGAGAACCTGGCTCCTTCCACAATAGCCAGAAACTGGGTTCCAGTTCTGGTATTTGGGGAATACACCACTGCCAACCCATCTCCTTCTGAGGTAAGGATGAGTTGGTGGGGGCAATTGTATGCTGTTGTTTACTTAATAAGCTGGAAGGGGAGAGGCCTGGTGGGTAAGGTGTATACAGCGGAAGGAGCAGGGGAAAGCTTTGGTATATTCTTGTGCCTTTCTGACACTAACTTCCCTGCTATGGCCCTTCGAATCAGGAGAGCAGAAAAATCTGAATAAATCTTTTTTAAAAAAGGATCAGCAATACATGTTTGTTTTGTGCCTGCTATTTTGAAGTGTGCTCTTTCAGAAAACTAAATCTTTTGAAAATAGATGAAAAACATTCTAGTGGTGGTCCTTTTAGGTTAGCAAAATATATAATATCTGTAAAGTAATTCTGTATTTTAGTTAAACTTCTTTTGTGGCTTTTCTGTTCCAGAAACTGTTCAGAAGAGAAATTCAGCCCCCATTTAAACCTGCTTCTGGTAAGCCAGAAGATACCTTCTGTTTTGATCCAGAATTCACAGCAAAAACCCCCAAAGGTAATGCATATATTTAGAAAATAACGAGTCAATATGATGATCTCATTGTATGGGGAGGGCTAAATTACATTGTTGTTTGGTACCTGGGGGCTAGAGCTATAAAATTAGAGCCACTGATCTTGGGAGTTAGCACAAAGATGAAAGGCAAGAGCCGGTGTGCCGTACCGGGGGTAGATTGGCTTCTCCAGGCGCAATTTAAAGGGCCTGCAGCTCCCAGCAGTGGCTAGAGCCCCCAGCCCTTTAAATTGCTGCCAGAGCCCCGCTTCTGGAGCCCTGGGGTAGTGGCGGCGGGGCTGGGGCGGAGATTTAAAGGGCCCGGGGTGGTAGCGGGGGCCGAGCCCTGGGCCCTTTAAATCGTCCCCGGACCCCACCGCCGCTTCCCCAGGGCTCCAGCAGGCTCCGAGGACGATTTAAAGGGCTTGGGGTGGTAGTGGCGGCCGGAGCCCCGTCCCCGGAGCCCTGCTGCCAGAGCCCTGGGGAAGCAGTGGCGAGGCTCCCAGGACAATTTAAAGAGCCCAGGGCTCCAGCCGCCGCTACTGCCCAGGGCCCTTTAAACTGCTGCCAGAGCTCCCGGCTGCTGCTGTTATCCTGGGGAGGGGGAAGGAGGCAGTTGCCGGTACAGGGTGGGCTGGGGCTGGCTCTGACCCCCCCCAGCCCTGCCCCTTCCGCCCGAGCCCCCCCCCCCCCTTCCAGGGGCCAGAGCTGGCCCCAGCCCAGCCCCATACCTGGAAGTTCCGAGACTTACTTTCACCCCTGTACCAATCATAGTGAAATCAGCTGTGGAATTGGGGTCATTTAGTGGATAGACAAGTGTGTTTTACTCTTGTCTCAATTTTACTTCCCTTCGCCATTTCTTTTGTTCCTGTTTTGGCCTTTATCTTTCTTTGATCCCCATTTTCTCCAGTGGTGGATTGACTTGAAATTGTAAAATGGGGCCTGAAATCCAAATCTCCCTCCTCTCCCCCAAGTGACTTATAATTTCCCCCACCTAGCTTCATTTCCTTATCCTTTACAAACCATCCTTACCTCAGTGCAGGCCCCAGAGAGGAGCATTCTTAGTCAGTGAATCATTTTCTCCCATTCATCCCCTCCTAGCTGCTGGAGAGAGAAACTGCAGAGAAAGTGTTTTTTCTTTGCCTTCTCCTCTGAGTGGATAAGATGAGAGGAAATTGAGCAGCAACGCATTTTTCTTCTATTCTATTTTGACCAATGTGTGTTAGAGGGTAAGAGCTGCCAGACAGTCATGGAGAGAAAGAACTGTTCTTTTTTTAAGTGATGGATATCCAGCTAATGGGATTGTATTTAGTAGTAGACAATGAATATTTCTGCTAAAATGATTAGCACTGAAATTATTAATATCAATTCTGTTGTAATTTCAAAATTAGCACCCCATTGTAATGAATTAGTGCCCTTCACCCTCATAAAGGTATTGTACCAGCCTGTCTATAGATCAGGAAGACAGCAGTACGTTTTATTTGGTTTCACATTATAAGAGATTATTTTTCCAACTGTAAGAGCTGGGAACCATTTTTATATTAAAAGCCTTGATTCTGCAGAATGTGTGCCTATTACTGGGACTAGTTAATACAATTGTTGGAGCAGATCTGTCCTATGTCTGAGACATTTGACATTGCTTGTGAGCCTAGATATGTTAATACATAGTTCTTCACAGCTTGTCAAAAGTGAAGTGAAGATGACTCTGACATCCTAGTCCCTTGTGAATATTTGAGTATATTTCAGGATCACTATCCTCAACAGCTGGAAATAATTTGGCTCAATTACGTTTTTGATGGGTTTACTATTTCTTTTGCCCAGTCAAATTTGAATTTAGGTGAAATCCAGATTTGAGAGATGAGGGATTTTTCCATGTCAGCATTGAGGTGCAGTGGTAAAACTCAATGTGTGAGGAAAGTAAAATGGTATGTTAATGTTTTGCCTGACTTGAGCCAGTGCTATCAAATCAATTTTAGGAGTGCTTCAAGTAAACTTGTGTAAATATCTTTTGTGAAGTCATCTTTTAAATACCTTTTAGAAATGACTACACAGTGAAACGTTTTTGTTCTAATGTTCAGTCACTCAATTAAGGCTTATAATCATTACTGTTCAGCAATTAGTATGTTCATTTAAGGGTCCCTTTTATAAATCTCCCCTTGAGGGTTTCATCTGGACTTTAAAACTGGTTTGTTGGCCACGTGAGGTATTATCTGCAGTTTGTATTCCAATATAGCTCTTAAGTTTACATACATATGTTAAAATACCTCTGGGCCAAACTGTGCTTTATTTGTGTTTAGACAGGGTACAGTGAAGTTAGAGTTGTACACAGTGTACACTGGGGAAGATCTTGGCTCTCATGACTTTTGAAACATATCACTACATTCTTCAAGTATTGTCTCCATGGATCCCTGTATTTCTGCCATGCCCACATCTATGGTTCTATATTTGAAACTTCTAGCAAGTAGTGCCCTCGTATGCACCCTTTTTGACTCCACATACTTGAGCTCGCTACTATGAATGAAACCGTGGCACCAGTCTTTAGTTCTTCTTTGTGAATAATCAGACAGGGTTGTTTTTTGGAGAGAATAGATGAAATTACATGTATTCTAGTTTATGCACATCTTGAAGCCTTGTAGTTTAAAAAAAAAAAAAGTGTGTGTGTGGGGGCAAGCATGTATTTCATTTAGCATGTGATACTGTTAAACTAAGTAAAAGTGAGAATATAAGTGAAAGGTGATATATTGGCACCCTGACTACATCTTATAGTTCAGAACCAATTCTACTTTCTTGTATTTTCCTCAAAATACTTTTGAGAACATACCTGTGGTAAACACACACAATAGCTTAGCTTGAATATACTGTAGTAACAGAATACTCTTCAGATTCTAATTAAACCATGTGTATTTAACAATTAGATTCTCCAGGAGTTCCACCTAGTGCTAACGCGCATCAGCTGTTCAAAGGATTTAGCTTTGTTGCAACTACTGCCATAGAAGATCATAAAATTTCACCCCTCACCAATATATTGCCAATAGTACAGGTAAAATTTATTTTTCTTGGTATAGATATTTCTTAACTGAAATGCCTAAAGCTGATTTATATATTGATAGTTAACCTCCATTCTCCTCTGTTGGAAAGACCCTTATATCGGCAGAGCAGCACCAAAACCCTTGTAATATATATAAACATTATGTGCAGCAATTTAAAGTAATCCAGTGTCAAAAATCAAGTTGAATGTCTCTTTAAATGCAAATTTCAAAAGGAAAAAACTGCAAAGTAAAGAAAAATGTGCTGCTTGAGAAAGTAAAAATCATGTTTTGGTTAAAGTACAGTTTATTGTTTTAAAATGCAGTTTATATTTGTTTAAAGCAACTTCATGGAAACAGTGCACAGTTCACTGATGTGTATGAGCTGAAGGAGGATATTGGTGTTGGCTCCTACTCTGTTTGCAAGAGATGTGTGCACATAGCTACCAATATGGAGTTTGCCGTGAAGGTACTTGGCGTAAATTCTTTTTTGGTATTTGAATAGTTGCTCCACAGTCGAGTCATGTATCTTTTTAATGTACTAGTAAGTAAAGAGACCCCTTTTTTTTCCTTTTTTTAACCTAATTTTTCAGTCAGCGTAATGTTGTATGTACTTTGAGAAGTGAAAAAGAGTAAATTTTTCCATTCAGCTAAATTTTGTATTTGCTTTTACCATTATTTCTTGTTAGAGGGAAGGTTGCCATCAAACTTTACTGGAAAAATACTTATGGAACAATATATCCAATTATTTGAAACATAATTCTGTTAGCTTTGAAATTACTTCAGTTATCACATGTTTAGTTAGACTGAATAGACATACTGTTAAATGTTCCCTTTTCCTTTTTTCTTTAACCTTACAATAAGAGTACAACAAAGGTGAGATCAGTGGGCTCTTCAGGTGAGGAAGTGGGGAGGAGGGAAGTAGGAATATTTAGGATAGTCTGATAAATTCACTAATATCTTCAAATTAGAGCAATTTTCAATATATGCTAGAACTTGTTTGTAACTATTAACCTCAAGCTTTAAGTGAATAGGCTGGATAATGTCATTCATGACTACTAAGGATGAAGCATGAAAGTAAAGAGAAATGTGTGACTTTTATAGTCAAAACTGCTGTCTTCCTCAGTTTGAAAATTCTTGTTACTTGTAGCTTTTGTGGTCTCTGACCCTAAATCCGGGATTTTCATCCATTTTGCGTCTGAGGAAATACTTCATTTAACATTGACGCCTTTTCCACCATTTATTTCACAGATAATTGATAAAAGTAAGAGAGATCCCTCAGAAGAAATTGAGATTTTGATGCGCTATGGACAACATCCTAATATAATTACTTTAAAAGATGTATGTACTCTTTTTAAATTTTACAATTCTTACCACAGAGCAGTCAAACAGTAAATAAAATAACGGTTGGGTAGGGATCCCATGTTTTGCATTTCCAGTAAAATATACTGGAAACAATACTTACAGTTTAAAAAAGGTAAAATATTTTAAATATGGCATATACTGTTACTTAAAATTATATCTTAATTTTTTTGCAAAGGTGCCAGGTTTTGGGAGACTCAAAATGTTTTTGGCCTTTGCTAATTAATTAATTAAATTCCTAAATGATTCTGGGCTTTAAAGATGACCCTGCAAAGAAAAGAAAATTCTGCACTTACTTGCTTTTATTTCCACTTTCCCTCCCATTTGAAATTCAGATTTTGTTATGTTTCTACTGGAAGATTCTGTAGACAGCTAGAGAGCTAGTAGAGTTATGATACCATAATTAATTAATGGAATTTGTGCATGTGAGAGGGGATGGGATTTTTAGATACTAATAATGTCTTGGTTTTTGTTTAATGTCGATTTAACTCAAAATGCCTAACAGGTAAAAGATCTACTTTTGAAAGAGTCAACACTTACACACTTTAAACTGATGGCTCAGGCCTTGTCTACAGTACAGGGGGAATTCGATCTAAGCTACGCAATTTGAGTTACATGAATAGCGTAACTCAAATCAATGTGGCTTAGATCGACTTACCGCGGGGTCCCCACTACGCGATGTCGACGGGAGACGCTCTCCCGATGACTCCCCCTACTCTTCCCGATCTGGTGGAGTACAGGAGTCGACAGGAGACCTATCTGTGGTTGATTTAGCGGGTCTTCACTAGACCTGCTAAATCAACCGCCGATACATGGATTGCTGCTTGTCGATCCCCCGGTAAGTGTAGACAAGCCCTCAGTAAGCTGCTACTGTAGTGCTCTGGCATTGCAAAGAATTCTGTTAGCAGAAATTTTAAAAAGGACCAAAAAAATACTCCTGCTATTTCTAAGGTTTAAAAAAACCAAACCAAACCAAAAAAAAAAAAACCCAAACCAAGCAGAAACCAAGTTCATTGGGGCTTTCATCATTAGCTATAAAGAACCAAAATGCCACTCCCATTTCAGTGGGTGGCAAATTGATGGGCCACTGGAGATTGGGACAGTCACAGTTGAACAAGGGTGGAGAACACATGGTAGAGGGATACAGGGGTGATTCTTCCCATTTAGAATCTCTAGCCGCCCTTTGGCTAACTGCAGTTGTTATTTTGCCAGCACATGGGGAGCTTATTTAGTTTTTAAAATAATAACAAAGAGCCCTACGTTATATAAATAAATGTAAAGTTCCATGGCTGCCTGAACAGTTTTAATATATGCATCTGAGTCTGATATTGGAAGCTTGTATTTGCCATCCTTATCTCAGCTGAACACCTGATATGATGTTGCTCTAATGGAGAAATAAATTACTTAAGAGGCGATATATTAAGTGCCGTCACTCAAAATTGCATCTGATAAAAGTACGGAGAAACAAAATGCTTCTTCCCAGGGCAGCACAGGTTCATAGACTGAATGAATGAATCCCAGAATCATCATTTAATGACCCACTACCTTCACATTGCATAAGAATGGCCATGCTGGGTCAGACCAAAGGTCCATCTAGCCCAGTATCCTGTCTTCCAACAGTGGCCAATGCCAGGTGCTCCAGAAGGAATGAACAAAACAGATAATCATAAAGTGATCCATTCCCTCTTGCCCATTCCCAGCTTCTGGCAAACAGAGCCAGGATGGGCAAGGATGGTGTCCCTAACCTAATAGGTATTGATGGACCTATCCTCCATGAATTTATCTAGTTCAGTGAGATGTAAGGTTTCTTTAGTCCTTGTGCCATGAGGCATGAATTTTCAGTTGAAGAATTAAATTTTGCAATACCTGTCTGTATTCATATACACTTAGAAGATTGAGAGGACTTTTTTTATTTAGTGCTTAAAATTCTTAGAACGTATATTTAATTGTGAATTATTCAAATGAGTGTGTATGTTTTTAAACTTCTGCAGGTATATGATGATGGCAGATATATTTACCTGGTCACTGAATTGATGAAGGGAGGAGAGCTGCTTGATCGGATTCTCAGACAAAAGTATTTCTCAGAACGGGAGGCTAGTGCTGTATTGTACACTATAACTAAAACAGTTGACTACCTTCATTGTCAAGGAGTAAGTGATACATATTATGTCATGATTGTATTTATACTTTGTATAATTAACAATCATATTTTCTTTGTTTCTTACAAATTTTTGTTGACTTGTTAGTACGTGAACACATTATGAAGAGAGTTGAGACTTCATTTGCGTACAACATAATTAAAGCTTTATGCATAATTTATAAAAAGTCTTGCTGGAAAATTAGTTGGATTACACAACCTTTAATTATCCTACATCTCCGTGAGGGTGAGGAAGAGGAGTACTTTTCTGTATTTCATACCAAGATTTCAGTTTTGACTCATGCAGTTAGACAAAGAAAAACCTTTTTGCTCCTCTAATGGAAAACCAGAATGCAAAGTTATTCTAATATGAAGTATTTAATTCCTGTAGAATAATTATGTAAAATAAATTAGTATTTAAACCACCAGAAACAAAGTTTTCTATAGAAATGTGCTGCCCAAAGATCTGATTGTGTATGTGAACTTCAAGTATACAAACAGTTTACTCAGTTATTCTATTTAAAATTGATCTGAATTATTAGAACTATCCAGCTGGAAATACCAATTGGGTTATATCACTGCCATAATCTGATTTTTATTTATAATGACCAGATAATGCTTAATCCCCTTGAAGAGCTCAGCCAGATAACTACTTATATATACTAATGAGGTTTGGGCATCACACAGCACGAAGTGGGCATTTTGTGGAAGTCTGATTTCATTTTGTTATGAATTTCTGCTTTCATTATATACACATCTGTACAATCTGTATGTTTTAGTTGATACACGTTGTTGTTAATACAAAGCCACTATCAACTCAGAATAAAATGTAGTTGGATTTTAACTACAGTATTATATTTATTCACCTACAAGGCCCTAGCTTTTAGTTTGTAGTCTGTTAAACCTGTAATGCTACTAATGCATTTATCTTTATATACATGTTTTTTCAATAATATACTCCAATTTTAATAGCTTTTAAAATGTTTAAAGCACATGCTTAGTACTAGAAATGTTTTTATGCCAGAGATTTTTTTTTAATTACACATTTATTTGCAGGAATATTTAGTGGTGAGAGTTCATCCATATATGTATCTTATAAAAGTCCTATTGCAAAGTGACTTTTAAGGGTTCAAAATCTAGTTAACTGAGTGCACCAACTTTTCACTTTTTGGAGATGTCTAGATCACAAATGAGATTGGTTATCTTAGTCTTATTTGAAATGTCCACATGCAACCATGTAAGAATGTTAAAATTCAGATAAATGAAGCCTTCTGGTAAAAAATATTTATTAAAGACAATGATTGAGGTATATTACCAGAGTTGTGTGAGGATGCTGTCCTAGTACCTCTCTTTCTCTCTTGCTCAAGAGTAGGATTATTGGCTATAAAGTATCTACTCACATGAGTAAAGACTATTTAGATCAGAAATTGTTGCAAGATTGGGCCCCCTGTATATGTGGAACGCTATCACTAAAGATATCTAACACCCAAATAGTAAAACCAAAATGAACACGAATATCCTCCTATCAAGTAATAGAATAATTAATAAATGTACAAACCCTCACATTTTCTTGAAATTACTGAATTGAACACAAGATGCATCATAAGATTATGGCAAGATAGTTTGATTCCATTTGTACAAACCTAGATTCAGTAATGAACACAGGCATCCCGCTACTTAGAGTAGTTTTCACTACAGGCTGCACTTTTGATAAATGAAAGCCCATTTAGGAGTTCTGATTTTATGTAGTAATTACATTTTGCCAAATCTTACAGGGTTAAATTATATGCAAACAAGTAACTGTTAAATTGTTATATGTAACAATGCCATATTTAGTACAAAACCATATGTATGGGGCAATGAACGAAACAAGAGAAGGATCTTTTTATGTTGTGTAGAAATACTGGTAACTTTTTCATAATCCATTTCAATCCTAGGCTCTTTCTCTTCTTGTGTTAGGGAGGTTATCACTTTATTGCAAGCTTTCCTAGCATCATCAGACAGGGAATTTGTCTTATCCAGTACAGGAGATTTATCTTTTCAGTAATTAAAACAATAATAATTTTATGCCTGTGATTATACACTGTTTATTTCAAAGAGTTATTTCCCAGATTTAGCCCTGTTAACAAGGTCAGGAAAGAACTTAAGAAGAAAAGTTGCTTTTTCATTTGGTCTTTCATAAGTTTTTAAGTAAGAAGTTTAATTTAATTGTTACTTAAAGTGTCTGACATCACATCAGTGCTAATGACCTTTCATAGATTAGAATGTAAACGGTATTTCAAATAGAAAAATTATATACTTTATCATAAATAATCATATAACATTGTAGTAACAATCATACTGTTCTGATAGCTTATGACATGGAGTAGGTTTTATTTCTCAGTTTGGGGCGGGGGGGTCAATAAAGGGTAATTGCATCTTTACCATGATTTGGGAGCTCTCCTATGTAAAAGTGGCAGAGTCCTGTGGCACCTTATAGACTAACAGACGTATTGGAGCATAAGCTTTTGTGGGTGAATACCTACTTCGTCAGATGCATGTAGTGGAAATTTCCAGCGTGAGATTTCCACTCCAAACGGCTAAATGCAGTGCTTTGCATGGTGTCAAGTATCAGAGGGGTAGCCGTGTTAGTTTGGATCTGTAAAAGCGGCAAAGAGTCCTGTGGCACCTTAATAGACTAACAGACGTATTGGAGCATAAGCTTTCGGTGGGTGAATACCCTCTTCGTCGGATGCATGTAGTGGTAAATGCAGTGCCTTACTTATGCTCCAGTACGTCTGTTTGTTAGTCTATAAGGTGTCACAGGACTCTTTGCCACTTTTACAGATCCAGACTAACACGGCTACCCCTCTGATACTCCTGTGTAATGTTACTTTAAAAGATATAGAATTTCTGGAGTTACATCATGTACTTTAAGTAATTATGTGGATCACTATTGTGCTACCTTCATAGAACAGTTACAGGTAAGGAAGTTACATATTTTTGCAGATGTGCCCTATAAACATTTGTTATCTTTACAAGTATTATACTTTTGAAGTCTATTTATTTTTTTAAAGGTAGTGCATCGAGACCTTAAGCCAAGTAATATTTTATATATGGATGACTCAAACAATGCTGACTCTATCAGGATTTGTGATTTTGGATTTGCAAAACAACTTCGAGGGGAGAATGGACTTCTTTTAACTCCTTGCTACACTGCCAACTTTGTAGCACCAGAGGTATCTTCAGCAGTTTAATATATTGACTTTATATGTACCATTCTGACTCTTGAAGAAACCATGTTCCACCATTCAAACCTTTCTGAGATGGACATATTTTTCTACTAAAAGGTGTGAACAACACATTTAATTGTTCCAACCCTTGTTCTCCTTTCCCCTAAACTTATCTATAAATGTCATTCACAGTCTGTACATAAGTCTTCACGATGGCTTTTATTTAATACAAATAAGATGTTCTCTTCCTTTGGAATTTGAAAGAATGACTTAATGAGAAATTTGAGACAAATTTATTTCCTAGCTTAATGGGCTAAAATTAATCAACTCTACATTCTTTCCTTGCTGTGTAACCGACATTTAGATCCCTTTTTGTCCTACAAAATATTGATTTGATACTGTCTACATTTTGGGCTTGTGGACTCCTTCCTCAGTTTTACTCTTAGTATTAATAGCAATTTCCCAAAACCGCTAGAAGTCATTGTTACACTAAAATGGCTGTTACAGTTAAAAAGGGAAGCATCCTGTCATGACAGTGCTCTGGTTATGTTTCCAGCGTGGTGATCTTAAATATTGCCATCCTAAGTCTCAAAAAGATTAGTTCCAAATAAATTCCAGAGACTCTAATTTAGGCGATATACCGTTCTAATTACAACTTCAACATTTTTATCTTCCCTTTAAATATTTGTCCAGGAAATGCATTTAAAATACTCGTGTCTTTTTTCCTCATTTTTCCCAAGCTTTTTTCCTTAGCGACAATGTTGCTTGTATTCTGCATCTTTAGATTGTATCAACTGTGCCATGTGCGTCTAGTATTACAGTGATATCTTTAAAGAGAACACGTTCCTTCAGAGAATGAGAAATGTCACAATAAAAGACACTGAAAGTATTTTCCTTTTATATCTGTCCTTAAAGCTCACTGGGATACAATACTGCAGACCTTAATCTTGAAATTGTTTCTTTGGGAGTTTTCCATGATTAAGGACAGTAGGATCAGGTTCTTGGGTTTCCAGCACAATATTACTGTCAGTGTGTTTGTGCTGATGATCTCTAAAGGAGTGGCTCAAACCAAATAAAATGGTGGTAGTGGCCCCCAGTAGGAGGACACAAGCATGTTTTAAAAATATTTATACTGGCTATCTATATTTAAGTATATTTGTTATATTTCTGTTTTGGTTTTAAGAAAGAATGTTGGGATTGGCTACCCTTACTGTAGTTTTTTACATGCAGCAAATAAAACTTTAACAGATCTTTGTTTTATAGGTTCTCATGAGACAGGGGTATGATGCTGCTTGTGATATCTGGAGCTTGGGTGTTCTCCTTTACACAATGCTGGCAGGGTAAGATTTTTCTCAGCTTTCAGATGTCATCTTAGTTTCCTGGAATTATTAGTATGATGTATACACACAGACATTCTGATATGACAGCAGCCCCGAGATAGATTAGACATGATAATGAATGTAAAAGTTCTAGATTTTACAACTTGTTTGAAGGAAAATCTTTTTTTCCCTACTTGCAATAAGCTTTGTGTACAGTATCAGGCATTGTGGCATGCCGAGTAGCAGTCTTAAAATATATGGGTTGCAATATAAAGTATATTTTAATGGAAGGCTTCCATAATTCAGCAGTGTTCTTTGTGTTAACATTTAACATAAACTTGTGGAAATATTCAAAATCTAGAATCTGTTGCTTTCAATGTAATTGTGCTCCTGTCTGGAAAAAAATGTACCAAATATCGTTATAAGTAGTATCTAAGATTACTATAACTAAAATATGAGAAAAATGTTTCTCTATTTCATTTTTGCTTGATGTGTTTGACAGCCCTACGTATGTAGCCATTTTCACTGTTTGCTCTGAATAGCTAATTATCCTGGTCTGTATCTTTTGTATAGGAACAGGGGAAAGAACAGTGCTTAAAAATAAAAAAAAAATGAGTACAAAACTACCAGATTTGGCAGGGAGATTTAGGGTCAGGTACACAACTGTTTTTCTGATCAGATTTCAAGTGGCCGACATCCCTTAAAGGTTTTGATGTTGACACAAAAATCATACATTACATGGGTATGAAACATTACATTAGATGGGTTTTGAAATCTCTAAATTACAGCATTATGGAAAAAATGAACTGAGTTACTTTCTTTAGTAGCATCCAGATATAAATTGATGCAATTTCTGTTGAAGTTGTCACAGCAAATAATAAACTGATATTGAGATTTAAAGCGAGGCTTTTAGTAAAATGATAGTACTAAAGATTAAGGATATGATACTACCACCTATTCCTTTTAGGCAGACAGTTGACTAAATTTTAGCAGCAAATTCAAATTTATAGATTCATATCTACCTATTTGAAGGAGTATATTAGTTGATTCATCAATGTGAATTTCAAAATATAAATATTTGTATTGTGACCCTAATGACAATGATAGTGCGTAATTAATAGTTTAAAAAATTGTGAAGTCAAACTCCTATTTAGCACACATTCTACCCTAGCTTCAGCATCAGAAATTTTGCAGATCAAGCGTTCATACTGTCTTTTTATAACTGCCTTGCAGCGAACAGGCCAAATCAGTTCTGTGTAAGGTTCTAGTGAACCTTTTGTAGACAGCTGCTTAGTGTTAAGATTTCATTCCCCAGAATGCTAATTCAAATTCACTGAATACAAAATCTGAAAATATAATGGTGCTGGGTATTTTGGGGATCTTCAGAGTAATCTCTCTGAGCTGGAATATCAGTGACACAAACATTTAGCAATAAACATGGAAAAACTTTCACAAGCTGTCATAATATTCCTGGACAAGAATCCAACCCATTTTACTGAAATTTGAGGTACATACTGCTTCTCAGTGTGGCTATCCTATACCAATCTGCTAAAGGGGCATTGCGTTAATTGTTAGGCCAATTAAAGATGATTTTGCAAGAATACAGTACTGAAAGTAATAATCCTTAGAGGACATGCTCCTTATGACAAGAAATGGTAAATTTTGCTACATGAGTTTCACAGTCTTTTAGTTGTCTGGCCATTATAGCTTTAATGCACAATGGACACTCACTAGTAGTAGCACACGAGTAAAAGACTGTAGCTGCCATTTAATTCTCTAACCTGTACTTCTCATCCCACTGTAACACTTTCAAAAAGTACTTTTCTGGACTGAAATGTCTCATTATTTGCAATCAAAAGATTAATATTTTTGGAACATCTGGAATGTAATTGATTTTTAAGATATAGAAAAGCAACAAAAATATGCAGGTTTCTGCTTTTCAAAGGGGCTTAATTTTGTGCCCTTCCAGGACCTGAAAGAGGATTGTTTTAGAACATTGTGGACTTTGTCCTCCATGAAAGCAGTTACATAACAAATGTCATAGGTTAATTCTTCAGCTTTAAACAAAATGTATGAAATCATTAACTTTTAAAGGATATTAATATTCAGTATGCACCAGGTACTTGACCCTCACTGTGTGTATCTTAAAATGTTAGTGTTAATGTATGTTATCCTCATGCTCATAGCTTGGGAAAGGCAAGAGGCTTCAATCACGAAGTTCTCAAAAATGCAGCTCTTTCTGGGTAGCAAGCAGTCATACATCTGGGATTAATAAATTATTGAAGTCACTGTAAATTACAATTGAAGGGTAGTTGCAAATGTTTGCAGACAGTGTCATTTGCTAATCTTGTACAAGTTTTACTCAGTGTTTGCTTCTGGACATGGAAGGAACAAGACAACGTAACATTCTCAGGAACTGTTCAGGTCTCTTGGATGTGGTTTATATTTAGTCATTTTAACTCTTCTGAGCGCTCCACAGTTGGATTCATGGTTACTAAGGGATCTGACTTTACAGGCAGAGACTGTTTCTTAAAACTTTCTAAAAGGTTCTGAAAACAGCTTTTCTGTAATTTGAACAATGAGAGCCTCCCAGACTGGAGTCTTATAATCAGTCCCAGTCGCGTTTTTTTTGTATTTTCTGTCCATGATAAAAGGTGTAGACACATTTATGGGTTTCAGTCAGATTTCTTGGTCACTTCATTGCCATTCAGTTTAAAAAGTGTGACCTTACATGAGGATATTCCTGGTCATTTCTGTTTGTGAAATATTTCAATTTAATTGATGAACTCTGGAATGGCAAGAATGTATAGCCTGCAAGTTGTTAACCTTTAGTTACTGTGGTCTTTGGTCTGTACTTTTTTGTTCCACTGAATAAGCCACTGCAATGAGTAATAAGAAAAGTTTTTAAAGATTACATTTTCATGTATTTTTAGTAAATATCTGAAATCACATAATTTAGTTGTTGTAACAAACCACAGCAGTGTCATAAGCATTTAGACAAAATTACAGTGCTTTCTGAAGATTTGCTTACATCATGTTTCTTTAAAGATTTCATATACATGTAATCCTTTCTTTGCTTGTAATTTTTTTTAAATAGCTATACTCCTTTTGCCAATGGTCCCAATGATACTCCTGAGGAAATCCTGTTACGAATAGGCAGTGGAAAATTCTCTTTAAGTGGAGGCAACTGGGACACTGTTTCAGATGCAGCAAAGGTGTAAATATATTTTATCTTCTATAGTACCATCTAGGGTACAAGCAAATATATGTTAAACTTGATCAGATATCTGACTAGTATAACTTAACTCTTAGCCATTATTATCTTGGTCTATTTTTGTCTGTGTATGGAACCTGTGGGTATATTTTTTGATGATTTCTGATGCTAGGGCTATATCAAGCTACATTTTTAACAAGGGGAGAATGTTTTACGGTGCCTCACAAAGCCCACGTGCTCTGTATAAGAGGTTTGGGATGTGTTCTACAACTTCTGTCTTACTGGAAGACTTTCAGGAGTTTTTGGAGGACAAAGATGATGTCATATTTCAGGGCTAAAACCGGAGTTGTATTTCCAACAGTCAGCTGATGTGGGATGGATATTGTGTGAGACTACTTAAATCTGATTCCTGTTGAGTTGTGGCTACCTGATTCTTGTTTGGCACTATTAACAACATATTATTATGGACTCCAAATTCACAAAGTCAGAAGGATGAAAGCTTAATGTTTTACTGTATTGATGTGAACTGGAAAACCAAAATGAGAAGTGTTAAGCCAAAATTGCTGTACTGAATGTTCTTGCTGATAAAGGTTGATTTCAGTAGAGAAATAAGTTTTTTACTGACTTTTAAAATTCACCCCACCTCTACAAAATAATGTTACCTTCTGGTTTACTGAAGGTGTTCTGGAATGTAAATACTAACTACTTATTACTACTAAGTTTTGTGTTCCATGGTATTTTGTGATTGCACAGGACAATGCATTCTGGGATACAACCAATAAACTAGAAGCCAAGAGAAGTTTAAAGGAAAAAATGTTTTAAAGGGTTAGTTATAAATGTCTTTGAATTTCCCCATAACCTGTCTAATGAGGACATTCAGCACAAAAATCTGAGTGATTTTAAAATAGCTCCCTAAAATTAACCATCACCAAGCCTGTCAGTTGACTGACGTGAAGACTGCAGCTCAGGTTTCAGTCTGGCTTACAAATGTGACTTTTCAGATTCTTCTAAGACTTATTTTTTTCCAGTAAAAAGTTGGAAAGACTGCATCTGATAATACCCAATGGAAAAACCAGGAGGAAAATACTTCCAGAAAAAGGAAAAACTGTTTCTTGTATGTCAATAAAGACATATCAAAAGTAACAGTTTTTATATGGCAATTCACATTTAAATCAAATAATGTGTTGTTTAGGATTTGCTTGACTTCAGAATTTTAACTAGAAAATTAAAATAGAAGCATAAAAAGTTGAAAAAAATTTGTAAATACTCCAGGTGGAAAACTTTAAATTTCAGTGAAATATAATGACATGATAGTGGAGAAAAACAAGGAAAATCTACTCAGATTAATAATCAGAACACAAACGATAATAAGGATATGACTCAAATCAACAAAACAAGAAAAAAATAGTTGACTGCCATCTATTTATTCTGAGTATTTCAACATGTAAAGTTGCCTCTTACTCACAATGTTTAGATGTTACCAAGTTTTTGGTTTGGGAGCAAACATTCCACTGCAATTTTTGCATCTCCTGTGGTGAATGTTTTGCTAGTCAGTGAAAATCAACTGGAGGAACTAATCTGTTTTTTCCATGACCTAGCTATGTGAACTGCAAAAGTAATCACACAGTGTCAATGGTAAAAAAATAGGTTATTTTAAATCTCCCAGTTTTAGTAATCTAAAATGGTGCTAGTATAATTATAAATTTTAACCCATTAGTAGGTTAATAGACTTTAAAGCTACAAAGGGACCATTATTGATCATCTAATCTTACTTCCTTAATGCTGGCGGTAGCATTTCACCCATAATTCCCACGTCAAACCCATAGCTTATGACATCTTTTAAAAAGATTGTTCAATTAGTTATTGCTTAGTTTTATCTAATTTAAAATAAAATTTATTTCTAATCTGAGTTTTAGCTTCAGCCTCCAGTCATATGGTACTAAATCAAATGCATTACACAAGTCTAGGTATATTGTGTCAACATGGTTACCTTTCTCAACCCAACTTGTAATTTAATCAAAAATGATATCAGATTTGTTTGATACTACCTGTTTTACCATAAAATATTGTTGAGTGGCACTAATCTACCATCATGTATCAGCCATTCCTTGATTTCACCAGGATCAGTGTTGGCCTATAGTTACTCAAGCCATTCAGTTTACCCTTTTAAAGTTCTGGCACGTTAGCCTTTTTCCAGCCAACTGAAAATTTCCTAGTAATTCAGGATTTGTTAAAAATCAACATCAGTGGTTAAGAGAGATCCTTGGACAGTTCTTTTAATACTCAGGTGCAAATTATATTTTAAAATGTTGAACCGTAGTAGCTGTTTAACATCCAACTTAGTTACTGCTGGAAAAAGCAAAAAAATCATCACTATGAGATGTAAATGCATCACCCAGCTTCTTTCCAAAAGCCACATAAATATTTACTGAACACTTCTGCTTTTTGTTTCATTAGTGACAATTTTCCCATCTCTGTTAGTAAGGGACCTATACCATTACTAGGATTTATTTTGTTGTTGTTATATTTTTTTAAATGCCTTGTATTGTCCTTACTCCAATTGCTCAGTAATCATTCTTTGTTCTTGCTTTTGTTGATATCCTTCATTCCACCTGTTAATGTTTTAATTAATCTGTTCTCTCTCCCACCTTCCTTTGACCAACCTTGCAAATTGCGTGTTAACTTAAATAGCACTTTCTTAATACTCCAACAGGGCAAAACCAAATGTACACTTCTGGTCAGTTTTAGCTTTCAAGTTTGTACCTTAAAGTGGAAAAACTTTAGAGGCATATCACTATATTTGAGTTTTAGATTTTGCAGCTGGTAGTCCAGACATTAATTATATAGTGGGAGTGAGGAGGAGCATCTGCCATTAGAAAAAATGCATCCAAGGCAAATGGATTGCTTATTTGTTTGTTCTGGGTTAATGCTAACGATTTCTGTCCTTGTTCTTAAAGATGATGGGATTCATAAGCAAACCAAAATACGAAAAATCATGAACATTCTAATAAGGCTCTATTTAGAATGAACACTCACTCTGTTGACAGACTTCATTGTACCTATATAGTGTCACACATTGTATTCAGACATTTGCAGTGTCAAGACCTAGAATGCCCCACTTCAGCTATTGATTTTCTTCTTTGGTGTGGCTTTTTGGATCCTTCCGGATGAATTAAATGGCTTTTTTCATGTTAGTAATTAACACTAACTTTCTGGCACTTTATATTTGTATGTAACAACTGTATATGTGTTTTTATTATTTTAATCTAGGACTTGCTGTCCCATATGCTTCATGTAGATCCACATCAACGATATACGGCAGAGCAAGTATTAAAACACTCGTGGATAGCCTGCAGGGACCAGTTGCCTCATTATCAGCTAAACAGACAAGATGCACCACATCTAGTTAAGGTAAAACAAAAAGTCCTCCAATATGTGTGAGCTTAACACTTCTGAGAGAAAAGCAGTCTTTTTCTGACTCTAATTATCATCTGCCTAAATTCCAGTTGCAGTTTCAGCTGGATATAGGATGGCTTTTCACTTCCTGTCCTAAACTGCAGATATGGCTTTGGGGATTTTTCAATTTTTTTTTATTATAGAGGATGTTAGCATTGAAATAAGGACCTTTTTGAAAAGGGGTTAATCCTTTTTCTTTCTCTCTTTCTATGTGCTTCACTTGAAGTTGTCCTTTCCATAGTTGCTCTGTTGCCTGAGGGGATGATACTTGTTCCCTCCTTCCCCAGTATTGCCAGTGAAGGAGAGCCCTATGGAGGGTGTTGGCAGAGGAAATGAGGAGGAGGGCAGTTGTTCCCAGGTTTGCTCCCCTGCCCAGAGAAGCCCCTCTGACCCATTTCTGTGGGATCAGGGACTTTGTAGATCACAAGGGAGTATGTGGAGTGAGAAGGAGAGTATCTACTGTTTGAAATGCCCCTTAGATATTGGGGACCTTTTTTGAAGTATACTTCACTATATGCCCTTACCTTGGTTGATGGTCTTTGGTTCTTTTTGGCTCCTCAGTTGGATGCCAGAATATCCATGGCCACCAAAAACTCCAGTAGTACCAAACACGGAAGACTGGCAACTTAACAACTTGTATTGCTATGAACACCTCACCCAGTCATCCATTCTATACTGGCTCCTCATTGAATGCAGAGTTCAACGTCTCTGTCCTTGTATTCAAAGCCTCCTTGGGGATTGGCCCTAGTTACCTGAGAATCACCTCTGCATCCATTTTTTTGCAACTGTGACCTCCCACTATGTAGAACAATGAAACTGTTGAAGGTAGTTCATGATAGAAATTTCTCAGGAGCTGGTCCTAGACTATGGAACCAGCCACTTTCAGAGCTAAATGCTGAACATCTTTCTTAGAATTAGCATTCTCTCCGTCATGTCACAATGCACACACTCACTCATAAACATTCAAACGAAATGTGACAAACTAATCGAGCTTCCAGCTTGAGGAGACTTACCTGCACTAGCTCTGATCAAGCTAGTATGCTACAAATAGCGTAGCTGCGGCAGCACAAACACAAAGAAGAGCTAGCTACCCTGAATATATACCTAGCATCTCAGACAGGAGCATCTCAGGCTGGCTAGCCCCTCCTGGTGCGCGCAGGGCTCTACCAGGAACCACAGCAGCAGAAGGAGCAGAATGTGCAGCTCTTCCAGCATGGCTGTACTGTCCCAAGCCCTGTCCTCCGACGGGGCTGCTGTACAAACCCCAGACAGGACTCGAGAGACAGCTGCGTGGAAGGGCTGGGGGCAGTACAGCCGCGCCCAGCAGCCACTTTCTGTTCCTTTCGCCGCTGCTGTTCTGGAGAGCCCTGCAGTTCAGAAGTCTCCAGCACAGCGAGAGAAGGACAGAGGCCCTCCCCGCAGTAATGTGGGATGGATGATGGGGAGAGTGCGTGAGCCCTGGGCTGGGGGCGGGATCATGTGGGGAGGCCGCTGGTGCCCCTCCTTTGTGTCCTTCCCCTGGGTGCAGCGTACTGGTAAGAAATGAATTCTACTTGCACCGCTGGCTTCATGTACATAAAGGAAATTTAATGGAAAGTGAAATAAATGTAACTGGGAAGAGGGAACAGACCTAAGGTCTATGAAGAACCCATGATCAGCAGCCTTGAGGACCCAGGCATAAATATTAATTATCCCTTTATCAACACAAGGTTTCACAAAAGTAATTCTGCCCGAATACACATTCTCTCTGTGGCTTTTCCAGGATTCATAAAGAATTAATATTTAACATTCAGTGTTTTCGTTCCCAGATAACTTTTACAATCTTTGTGGATTTCATTGTTCTCTAGGGGGCCATGGCTGCCACATATTCTGCACTGAATCACAAGACATTTCAGCCAGTCTTAGAGCCTGTTGCAGCTTCAAGTTTAGCTCAACGACGGAGCATGAAAAAGCTAACTTCAACAGACTTATAGATCCACTGGGGCACCTTAGCCAAACTGGAGCAAAGGAAAAGCCAATAAGTGGCTCTATATCTGCCTGACCTGTGATCGAAAGACATATATGGTTTCCTGCTACACTACTTGAATTCTGTAAAAGTCCTTTTTTAAAAGAAAAAAATCCACAGGTTCAGGGGGATTCACACTGTGTTGTTTTACAGGCGGTGTCCATGTTTGTTTAACTTAAACATCAGGGTACATCACAAAGATCATAAGGAATTTCTGTACACTGTCCTTTCAGAGATTTGTTGCAAATATTTTTTACATACTGTATAGTTTTGCTGGGTTCATGAAGAAGTGGTTTAGGGGACCATTACCAATAACCAAGTTGTACGTAGAAAGTGTCAGCGTCCGTATTTTTACCATCAAACCCATTTGTAAAAAATCTGCAAATTCTTACTTAAATTACTTTGTAATTGGGCACTTACTAATGGACTCCATTCATTTAACTCATTGATGCTAGAAGACAAGACTGACCACCTTATTGTGCCAGTGCAAAATGCATTAGTGCTAATATGGGAGAGCTACACTTGCCTGGTGCCAAGAATTGAAAAGCTTTGTGTACAAATATTAAAAAATGGTGTACATCTGAGACATTGAACTTTGTCCATAAAATTAAAATGATCACTTGTGAACCATACAACTGGATAACAACTGACCTTGTTTAGGGAATGTGTGTGTCTAATGTCAGTATGTATTTCTGTCTATAGCAGTGGTGGAAAACCTGTGGCCTGTCAGAGTAATCTGCTGGTGGGCTGAGACACACTTTTAGATTCACTGTCCGCAGGCTCGGCCGCCCGCAGTTCCCACTGGCCGCGGTTCACTGTTCCTGGCCAATGGGAGCTGCGGGAAGCGGCGGCCAGCATGTCCCTGTGGCCCATGCTGCTTCTCACAGCTCCCATTGGCCGGGAATGGCGAACCACGGCCACTGGGAGCAGCAGGCGGCTGTGCCTGCGGATGGTCAATGTAAACAAACTGTCTGCGGCCTGCCAGCAGATTACCCTGACGGGCTGTGTGCGGGCCGCAGGTTGCCCACCACTGGTCAATAGTCATAAGCTTGGGGAAACACCCCTTGATTTCAACATAAAAGATCTTTGTGTTCTGTACTGAGCTATAAAAATGATTGTAAGTGTTCAAGAGTGAGAGCCTGTATAGTATTGGTACTACTTTAGATAGGACATGTGATATATCTCCAAGTAGTCCATATGCTTTTAGTTACCTTGTCTATCCTTCTGTTACTTGACTGAATTATGCCTGTCTATTCCGTGAGGAACATAGGGACTTCACCACTGCTTTCCATCTTTTGACAGTCTCTTACTGTAGTCTTAGTTCTTCCCATATCATTTTGATAGCTTTCTGTTGTGTGTTTCCATGTTGTGCTTGGTCTACCTTGTTGCTTCTTGCCCTCAGGGTTTCAGTCCAACTCCTGTCTTATGTTATGTGGGTCTTTCCTCCATGTATGTTCTAGTTATCTTCATTTTTGTTCCATAATTTCCTGACCTATCAGTATATTTTGTCGTCGTCCAGAGTTTGATTATTTTTTTTCCTGGCCATCTGATATTAAGGATTTGTTTAAGGCAGTTGTTTATGAAAACTTGGAGTTTAGATAGTAAGGTCTTAATTGTCCAAGTTTCAGTGCAATTTATTAAGAATGACTTCACAATGTTGTTAAATATTCAAAATTTCATTTGAAGGGCAAGATTTCTGTTTCTTCTTATCAACTTTAGAGTTATGAAGGCATGTCTGGTTTTTGATATTCTGACTTTAATGTCTGTCCTACCTGTTGTACTTGATATGTGAAATATTGGACCTATTCTATGTCAGGCCCAGAAAGTGTTGGTGTTTCTTGTTCTGTGTTGATTTTCAACCCTACTAATTGTGCATATGCCCAAGGATAACTTGTTTCAGCTTGCATGCCTCTCTGAGCATGGGTTAGCAAGTTGATGTCACCTGCAAAGTCTAAATCTTCTAACTTTTGTGTGAAACTCCATTGTATGCCACTTGATTGTTCTGTGGTCTTTCTCATTACCCAATGTGCTACCAGTAAAAAGATCATGGGTGACATAAGGCATCCTTGTCTGTTGCTGGTAGTAAACTCAATTGGCTTAGCTCAATGTTACTTATTACTTGGCATGTCATATTTTCACAGAAACTCTGTGTGATCACAGATTTCCGAGGGATTCCATAGTGGCATAGCAACTTCCATAAAGCTGTTTTATCCACTGTATCAAAGGCTGTCCATCAGTACCTGGCTATCCCTCTGTATGTGGACTATATTGCTGTTCCTTTGGCAATCTTTTCTGTTGAAGAGCAGTATATTCAATGTTAGCTTATCCTGGATTGTTAGGTAAATTGACATTTCATTGTAGCATATTTGGCACATAGTTTATTAGTTTTATTTATTTAAATGTATGTAATTGCTCCTATGTCCCTTGGCACATGTACAGATACTACAAAAGATAAATGCAAAGACTCATGGCCCTATTAAAAACCCTCTCCTTGGCTAACTACAGGTGAAGCCTGGGAAAATAAGTAAGCCTCGAAGTGTGCCCTTAAAGTCAATAGGTACAGGATTTTGACCAAAGAGGGGGAGTAGGTTCCACAGTTGTGGACCTCACTGAAAATATCCTGCTGCCCTCTCCCTCTCTGAATGTATGGGCATTTAGTTAAGTGTCTCGGTTGACCTGAACTACTTTGGTATCTCTCTCTCTCACACTCACACTCACACACAGCCCCCAGAGAGAGAGAGTTAATCTGTAGCACTGCCAGGTCCCAAATGATTTTAGAGTTTTCTAAATCAAAACCAACACTTTGAATTGCACCTAGGAGTGAACTAGAACCTCTTGCAATTCTCAGAGGATGTGATCAAATAAAGCATTTCATGACACTTTAGACACTACTACACAATTGTTCTAATATAATAGCATGATAAATATTTTAAATATTATGAAAGTATACCTAGTGATCTACTGCTAAATTTGAACACATTGAGAATCATTATGACCAAAAATCAATTGTTGTCCAGACTTGTCTGCTGTCATTGAATTTTTAGTCCCCTAACGTTTTTATAACAGATCATAAAATGTTAATCTGGGGGGAGGGGAGACTTTGCATACTGAGATAATAAAATGGTGTGAAGGGTTTGGTGGGGATTCTGAAATAACAAAAGAAGCAGTAACTCATCCTAAAATATGGAGGTGACTCACTACTTTTTTTGTTGTCATTGGGAGTACTGTAGATATGCTGCTAGTTACTTTTTATTGCTGTGCAGGAGGTAGGAATTGCCTTACTGAAGAATTAAGTATTTTAAATTGGGATGCTTGTTGGTATGGGATTTAATGAATATGAAGAACATGTGTACACTAGTGTCATGCCTGCTACTCAATTTCTCGGGTATAATAGGTGTTTGAAATATTAGGGCCCATTTGTACCTAATTTGAGGTGCCTGTTTGAAATGCTTGAAAAATATCAAAGAACACAGCTGCCACATGGGAAACATACTACTTAGAAATAATTCTGCATCTTACAACATTTTTTCATTACTGGAGACCTTTGCGTGCAATTAAGTGTACACCTCTCCATATTTCCCACTTAATATTGTAATTTCATTTGTAATATTAAATATTATTTCTATCAAAATTGAGATCACAAAAAATCAGACTCTAGATGGGGAACAAAGAGCAAAAAGCACATTTAAAAACAAAGATCTATATGTAATATATATTTTAATGTTAAAGTAATAAAAATGAGGGAAAGAGAACATCTAAGATGCTAAGCTTAATTGTCTTCAATTCCCCCTTCCCCCCCGCATAAAGTGGCAGCTGGTCTTTTTTGGTTTTATTCATGAGTGATTTAGCAGTGTTTTCATTGATATTTTCACTTAACTTGTTCAGACCCACTGTGCAATAAGCACCTTACAAGTATTGTGCACTAAATAAGTAATAAGCAGGCCAAGATACTTAGCATGTAACGGTATCTTCCTGGAGTGAAGGATAGTGTTGTAAAGAGGAAAAATGTACAAAGACATGCTGCTTGGTGAACACACAATTTAGAACACTTTCAAAGTCAACCCTGCAGTTTAGATAAGAATCACTAAGCTCTACTACGAATGGCACTCCCAGGGCAAAAATAAGGTTTCCCTGGCTGCAGTGTTACAGGGGTAACCTTTTCACAGAGATAAACTGTGTAGACAACACCTTTGTTATATTTGACACAAACATCAGGCATACATGGCATGTCTATTTCCACTTTTATTTTGGGAATAAGGCACACTTATTGTAACTAGTGCAAACAAAATCCTGTCTGGAGACTTACAATTTCATCATGTCAGTCTTTCAGTATCTCTGGGTATTGCTGGAATCCAGAATAATATTTCACCTTCATATTTGCAGAATACCCCCCTACAGTGTTTCATGACACAACCTTCATTAATGCTCTTTTGGGGGTTGAGCTGATTTTTCTCATTTTAAAGGAAAATTCCAGTTTTGCAGAACCCAGTAGTCATGGAATTTAAAAGGTAAGCAACATGAACTCCTCATGAGTAATCTGTGAATTGTTTGAAAATGAAGAGAATTACAATTATTTGAATCTTTTGGTAGGGGCTATTGAAAGGTATAATTTGTGTCATATACATAAAGCTACCACACACAGGGTTGCCAGGTGTCCAGTTTTGGGCCGGAACACCCGCCCCCTCCCACACTCTGAACCCCTCAGCCCCACCCCGCAGCCCAGAGTTCCCTCCTGCATGCCTTATTTCTGGCCCCATCCCAGAGCCTGCAGCTGCAGCCCTCACTCCCTCCTGCATGGCAACCCCCTGCACCAGCCCAGTGAAAATGAGTGAGTGAGGTTGGGGGAGAGCAAGCATCAGAAAGAGAAGGGATGGAGTGAACTGGGATGGGGCTTGGAGAAGGTTTGGGACCGAGGTGGGGCCCCAGAGAAGAAGCGGGGCAAGGGTGTTCGGTTTTGTGCAGTTAGAAAGTTGGCAATCCTAAGACTAAACTGGTTAGCATTTTATTGTGGGTACTGGCTTAAAAATAAGCTACACTAATATAGTGAATTTTTTTTCATCCTTAAGTCCTTTATAAAAACAGAATAGAGAGCTATTTCTGTAGTGCTAATTACCATCCTACCTAATATGATCCAATATGGGCTAGTATCTCAAATATCATTCCCCAGCAAGAAGCATGCCAAAAGTCATAGTCTCAGTAGTGCAGTTGTAATCAGCCTTTCTTTTCAAATATGTATTCACATAGAGCCTGACCAGCTTCCACTGAAGTAAGTGGCAAGACTCCTATTGACTTCAGTTTGAACTGGAGCAGATCTGTAATAAAAGATGTCATACCCTGTGTGCTGTGGGATTGTTTCACTGAAGTACTGGGTGTTTGTAAAATGAAAAGATCTGCAATGTGCTCCTGGCCCCATTACTCAAAAGTTATGTGGTGGCTAAATCGCAGATGTTGCAGAATCAACAGTATCTAGGGAGTTTCAGTATGGGCAGATTGTCTTAAGCCAACATGTTTTGGCTTTTGTGATCTGTTGTTGAACACAGGTTGTAGTTTTTTATGCATTTTTCTTATGCTCAAAAGGAGAGCATTCCTTTGGCCACACTAGAAACTTGTGATGTATGTGATTCTACAAAAGCTGTCCAATTGCTGGTAGCACAGCTGTATAGCTTAGATGTCCTGCTTAGTGAGTACTTCCAGAGAACACATCTCAAACACATCTCATGGATATGAAAATGAAAGCAAACACCAGTCAGCTGTTATCTTTAGACTTCTAGCTATAGAGCTGAATTATCCTTATCCTTTTCTCTTTAACTTTGAAAAAATTAATTAAAACAAACTTATACACTCACTGTATATTGTAAGAGTTGAAAAAATAAATTAATTGAAACATCCAATAATTAAAACGATTTCTAGCAAATTTTAAGATGTACTTTAACAAACATTCATTGTAGGCATCTGTTCATCAGTGCATTGTAACAGGTTGCTATAACATCAAACTACTTAATTTCTTTTTCAGATGTTACAATTAGAGGAGGGGGGAGCCTGCAAAAGATTGAGATTAAGTTGTATAAATTGTCCATGAGTGTGGTGATTATCCACACTTAGTCAACAGAATGAGGCTAAAATAGCTATGCAAACAGGGTTTTGTGCACTACTATAACAGTTATGTTTCTTACTCCCAGCCAAAAACTGGAAGCATGCATGTGTTTAAGATAAATGAAAGATTTTTTTAGAAGTTAATTTTCAGAGTGTTTAACCTCCTGTTTGATTCAATTGTAGTGATAAAGTGGGGGGAGGAGGGGAATCCTTTACATATATAATACCACAGGAGCAATATATTTGAAAGAACAATTGATCCACAATTACTTATTAAAGCATTCATACATGTTACCAAGTGTGTGTGTGTGTATAGAAGACAAACGCTGTACTTGGCTGTATACCACACTTCTGTATTAGCAACAGTTCAATTAAGTGCATTCAGAATACTAGCTGTCCTTATTTTCAGTGTATCTTTTTAAGAATAATTGCTCCCAAACGGCAATATTTTCCTGACTGTTGATAAACCTGCATATTTCTTTGTGAATATAAATAATACAGAAATTAAGTTGAGGAAAAGCAGCTGTATGGCTAAAGCTGAATAGTAGAGTAACGAGTCTTTTTTTAACCTTTTATAATATAAATCCTTCTCTTATTGGGATTTTTCTGTGTAAGGAAAACAAATTCTTTCTTGAAAAGAACAGTTCTGAAAGCTGTATGTAGAGGATCTTTAAACTCTAATTGGCAAGTCCCCTTATTGGTAAGTATGTTTCAGAAATAATCATTCAAACTCCATTTATAGTAATCAGCAGTAATTACACCTGTTTTTGTTCGGGTACTGAAAAAAATAGCAAGAAGATATCTCCTTTGCAAGGCAAAGTGTTACTATAATATGTACGTTGCATTAGGCTTATGAACATTTGCTAACTATTGCATTGTCATAATTTCCCAAGCACTTGGCATTCTTGTACTGATACTCTGATTATAGCTAAAACTGTTTTGGCATGTGACTGGGCATAAATCTCAATATATGAAAGGGCATTAAAGTTAAAACAAAGTGTGCAATTCAATTATATGCTGAGGTACTTCAAAGATGAACTTTACAAAAGGTCCCCGTTGTCAGATATTGTAACTATCATTTCCTTCTCTAAACATATTGTGGATTTTGTATCATATTGTATTTATTTCATTTTTTAAAAGATGTTTTCTTTAAAGCTCTGTATATATTGACATTAAAGTTTGCATTGTACTACATTCTTCTCCTTGTAAGGCTGAATCCAATAGTGCATTATACAGTATGTATTTTTTCTTTTACACTATGCTGCTAAATATTACTCTCTCCTTGAATTACAACATGCCAAAGATGACTTAGAAATTGTATTTATTTTTGTTAAAAGCGTTGTGAATAATTATAGAGGGACAATTTTAAATAGCTGGCAGTTCCTTGGGTACTAGGAAAAAAGTGCAAATTTATACTTTATAACTGACCAAGTGTGATCGTGTGATTCAGAAACTTTCCAAGCCCATTTTAATTTTTTTTAAAAAGCAGTGAGCCAACTTTCATAAAATAACCTCTACTGTGAGTTGCATTATTTATTGAACCTTACTATATATTTCAAGCATAAATCAAAAGCCCATTGTATATTTGTAATCACAGCATAGTGTTTTAAAATGTGTATAGTAAACACTGTAAAAAACATACCTACACAACAGATATGAGTGAAGTATGAACTTAACGGTGGGATGATCCACCACTTCACATGATTTTGGTGTTTTTATTGTGGGTTTCCTGGTTGTTCAAGAAATCCTTTTTATGCTCTACAACAGGGGTAGTCAATTATTTTTTGTCGAGGCCCAAATTTCTGGGCCCAGGTATAGTCAACGTCCAGACACCAGAGAAAATCATTTAAAAAAATAACTACTAATAGGTAAATAGATTTTGAGGTCCATTCAAAAGCGTCTGGTGGTCCAGATTTGTCCCATAGTCCATCTATTGACTACCCCGGTCTACAGGAATAGCTTTTTCACAAAAGCTTCGATCCTACTCATGGACATACTTCACTTCAGACATGTGAGGAGCCCCATTGCAACTAGTGGGACCTACTCAAGTGCTGAAAGTTAAATATGGAAATCATTGTTTGCCAGATGAGGGTCTAAAAGCTCGAATTGCAATCCATGTCTCTGACTTCGATTTGAGTTTATTTTAAACTGAACTACCAATGCAAGCTCTTTGAAGAATTTGCCTGGCTCATAGATGAGAGGGCTATTATTGCAGTGGGAAATGGCATAACCAATGTGGGGGGATAAAGATGCTGTTCCCAGACTGTGCTCTTGGTTGCAAGAAAACTGATTCCTTCATGTCCCCAGATTTTTATATTCCTACTATGGGCTCAATTTAAATCTGCTTTCACTGAGCTTGTTCACCAGCTATAAGCCAGGTTGCTCAGTCACACGAGCAAGTTACTGCAGGTACAACTGTCCTGTTCTTGGTTGATATCTGGGACTCCAGCAACACATTGTTCTCCTTTTGTGGAGGGAGAAAAGGCATTTCTCATTCAATAGATTTGTAGAGCTCTCCAGGGTGCTTTGGTTGGCCTGCTCATCATCTTTGCACCTGGAAAGTGCTCTGTACGCTGCCAGATACCTCAGAGGTGGTTTCTGAAGAAGCAGCTTCTCCATACTGGCCCCCATAATAGTAAGGAAAGATGGACTCCAGCTGGTGATCACTCCCAGGAAGCATGTAGGGTCCCCTGCTTTATCTTAGGGTGAAAAGTCCAGCTCTATTCAGACCTGCCCCGATTACCTCCCTGGGCTGCTTCTTACCATCACCTTTTACCAGGCCACTTCCCCGCTACCTCTCTATGTTCTATCTTCTCCTGGAGCCAGGACTGACAGGCCTCCTCATGGAATACCCCAATAAATCTCAAACCAAAAGTACAATTTAACCTCTGCCCTCCTTGGGCTTGACCTGTCACTACTCAAGTTTCCCTTACACAGTTCCTCAGTTAAATGCCTTTCAGGTCTCTCTCCTAGGAAGTTCCTGCCTTTTTATCAGGGCTCACCACCAATGCTTGCTCCACCCCAGTGGCTGCGCCTGGTTAGTCCTGGCCTTTTGCCAGACTTCCCTGCTTCAGAGAGGATCTCCCTGGGCCTTCCTCCTTGATCCTGCTGACTTTTCTTCAGTGCCAGGAGAGGAACTGTAGATCTCCTTCCCTTTCTCTGCCACAGCTCCTTCTGCTCCACATGTCCTGCCTTTAAAGCAACCATCCAGATCCTTCCCCGGCTGACCTTCATCTTTGTCTGGCCCATCCTCCAGGTGCAGCCAGCTAGCATAATTGGCCTCTGAGGCCCCATTAACCTGTTCATTGCTTAACATCCCTCTAGCAGTTTGTGGTTCATGAGCACTCCAGCAGGAACAACTTGGAATTCTCCCTGACCTGTGCCAGCTACTGCCAGCAGCTCCTAGACGTACCAGAAAAAGCCCCCCCCCCCCCCCCCCCCCCCCGCTCCAGCCCTCTGGCCTCCACAGAGCAAGGCTTACTTGTAAGCAACCAAACAAAAACCCAGGCAAGTTGATCCACGCTATAAGGCTGCCTTGTTCTCCACAGTGGACTTTAATGGTAGGATGTCAGGATTTTTTTTTTTTTGGACAGCTCAGGCAGTTGTCCATTAATGCAAACACCCAGGACAGGGTTTAAGCAATCCTGGCCAAAGTAACACTTGGCAAGAATGATCCAGTCTTCAGAAGGGCATGATTGTTGCAACTGTTATTTAGCAATCAAGCAGCATACCCTGAAATACTCAGACTAGCTTTTTGAAATGCAGCAGCCCTTCCCCTTAGGATGTTTGTTCTTCAATTGTCCATTTTCAGGCTTCCTGTTCTCCAAAGTGACTCATGTTGGACTGCTCTTTGCTCTTGTGGTGAGGGGACCTGGGGCTGGCTAGTCATAGATTCCAAGGTCAGAAGGGGCCATTACGATCATCTGGTCTGACTTGCTGGATAGCACAGACCATAGGCCTTAATTTCTGTTTGAATTAGAACATATCAAGGCTTGATTTTAAAGTTACCAATGATAGAGAATCCACCACAATCTTTGGAAAGTTGTTCCATTGCTTAATTACCCTGACTGTTTATATATGCCTTAGTTCTAGTCTGAATTTATTTAGTTTGAACTTCAAGATACTGGATCTTGTTATACCTTGTCCATGATCAAATATTTGTTCCCTGAGTAGGGACCTTTAAACTATGCTCAAAGATGGCCTACATTCTTTGTTCCTAGATGTATACACTTACATCTGCCCATTTTAAAATGTGTATTCTTCGCTTGTTGCCTTGCTTTCCAAATGATCCGGATTGCTCTGATCAGTGACGTGTCCTCTTCGTTTTTTACCACTCCCCCAATCTTTGTGTCCTCTGCAAATTTTATCAGGGGTGATTTTGGTTTTCTTCCAGGTCATTGATAAAAATGTTATAGTATAGAGCCAAGAACCAATTACTGTAGGACCCCATTAGAAATACACCTGGTGGATGATGATTCCCTGTTTACAATTACGCAATTTTTAATCCATTTAATATGTGCTATATTGTTTTTGTATCATTATAGTTTTTAATCACGTCATGTGGTACCAAATCCAATGACTTACAGAACTGTTACAAACACTCTTACCTTTATCAGCAAAACTTGTAATGTCTAAAAAGGATATCAAGATAGTTGGGCAGGCCCTATTTTCCATAAGCCCAAATTGGTTAGCATTAATTATATTACCCTTTTTAATGAGTCCTGCATCAGCTACTCCTTTTGCCCAGGATCTGTGTCAGGCTGTCATGCCTATAATTAGCTGAATCATCCCATTTACTCTTTTTAAATATTGGTTCCCAAATCCTAATCTGTGTGCCTGAGAATCCCCTTTCCCCCCAGGTTCCTGTCCCTGAGCCTTCAGGAGGCAGGAATTAACTTCAAGAACAAATACTACACTCAACAATATAACACACTCATGAGTAGAGACAAGCCCTCTGTTAATATTAGGAATAGATTGGGGGTGGAGGTGGGTCTACAAGGAGTTACACACTTACCCTGGCAGTCATGCAATATGTGCAGACCCCTCAACACCCCAGTGTACAGATTAACACAAATAGTTTCAGCCCCAGTCTCCTAGTCCCAAATGGTTCCTTCCAAGTTCCAACCCTTGCGGAGGTCACTGTTGGTTGGGTACAGTGTGAACTTGGAGGTGTAGGGGTCTTGGTCTCTGCTGCACGGTTGATGCCTGTAGATCGGGTGACCAGATAGCAACTGTGGAAAAATGGGACGGGGTGGCGGGTAATAGGCACCTGTATAAGAAAAAGTGCCAAAAAACGGGACTGTCCCCATAAAATGGGACACCATTGTTCCTAGTTCTTTAAATAGGTTATTTTGGCTTTTAAGGTAAGGGGGAGGGCTCTGAAGCCTACACTCAGGACATATATATGGAGGCACTGACCATGCCATAATCTGGTACTGGTCACAGGCATGGTCAGCGCATAATCTGCACAGTTGGCTAGGGCCATTAAAAGTCCAGTTGGTGGCACAACAGAGCTTGTAGGCTCCCTGTCAGGCTCCGTGCAGCTCCTGGGAAGCAACCAGCATGTCCCCCCGGTGTGGGGATGCCCGGGGGGCACAGTGTGCTGCCTCTGCCCCAAGCGCTGGCTTCACAGCTCCCATTGGCCGGGAACTGCAACCAATGGGAGCTGCGGGGGCAGTGCCTGTGGGCAGGGGCAGCATGCAGAGCTCTGGCTGCCCCTCCACCTAGGAGCCGGAGGAACATGACGCTGCTTCCCGGGAGCACCTGAAGCCCCTCCTGCACCCCAATCCCTTGCCCCATCTCAGAGCCCCCTGAGCCTGCACCCCAAATCCCTCATCCCTGGCCCCACCTCAGAGCTTGCACCCCAACCCCCTGCCCCAGTCTTGAGCCCCCTCCTGTACCACTAACCAGAGCCCTCCCACGTCCCAACCCCCTGCCCCAGCCCAGTGAAAATGAGTGCAGGTGGGGGAATGTAGTGGGAGGGGGCAGGGCATGGGTGTTCGGTTTTCTGCAATTAGAAAGTTGGCAACCCTACAATAGACACAGCTCTACCAATGCTGCTCAGTTTGAAACTGCACCCCACTCTTGCGGGGCCTCTCCTTATGGATGTCTGCTGAACAGATCTGGATAAACATCTACAGAGAACTAGGATGAGCCCACACAATGCACTTTCACTAAATATACTAAATTCTTTT